TTTATAACATTTACAGAGGACCCAACCAGTGACCGACCATGGCAGACCTTCGGTGACGGGGCCTTTTACAGGCCCTGCACACCGAACGGCGGACGGCCCACCGTCGAGGAGAAAGCAGTCGGGACTGTAGTCGGCGTGCCTGTCTCTCCCGAGGTCGGTCAAAAAAGTGGCCCCGAACACACCAAATGACGCAACTGGGCGTACAGTCTGCGTGTGCGCAGGCGAAACGTCCCCATAACAGCAGGCGGCGCTAATCGGTGTTGTCTCCCAAGAAAAAATTAAAACGGAATGACGGATCACTCTAGACCTGTAAACAGAGCAGACGCTGTCGTCAGTCATTGTTTGCCATCCAGAGAGTGTTGATACGTGTCACGAAGGATCGTTATTGTCATTATCGCGTGAACGGAACATGACGATGGCTAATAATAACAAGATCCTGGCGTTGGCGTAGTATGTTTACCATCGTCACTGTTTCTCGTGCACTCACTGATTCCGCTAGTCAAGGGCTAGCACTCCACCAATCAGATTGGGTCTTGAGGCCGACGGGCCACTGGGCCGATTCTACATGTCGAATCGGCCGAACAATGAACACCGACGCCCGACTGACGACGGCAACGGGCAGCACCCGAGACGATTCGCGAGTCACGGCCTCGCCGGCCGACTGTCGCGTGCCGACCGGCCGATAATCGGGTTGGTGTGCGGAGGCTTAAGAGGCAGAAACCTAGGAGCAGAACCTTCGGCTCCTAGTTGGCTTGTCATCTGCCTTGACCAGTTGGGGGGGAAAGAAGAGAGAGAGAAGAGAAACAGAGAGGAAGACAGATGTACAGCAGAAACAGTAGCAACAAGTACATTAATAGTAACTGATCCGATGACGATGCCTGAAAAACGACGATGCACGACAACAGCAACGATGGGGGATAGCGAGCCAGCGATAACAAGTACACTTGGAAAATGAATCACTTAATAATAACTAAATAATAATAACAGTAATATCAGTGATTTTAGCAATGGTATCAAGCGGACAAAGAGAGTTCAGTCTAGACCTGCTGAATTTGAAAAGTGTCCTGAGATAACTTCTGTTATGAATTGGTGCTATACAAATAAAACTGAACTGATTTAAATTGAATTGAATAATATAAAATATATACAGTATATAGTCTATAATATAAAATACATACAGACCATACTCTACAGTATACAGTGTACAATATACAGTGTAATGTATCATACTGGCTGTAGTGAAACTGAACTGTTTGTTGCAGCTCTGTTTTCCAGCTGGTGGCCTTGTAGCGTTGTTAGCATTCCTCAAGGAAACCAAGGGGAGCTGGCCCAAGCTAACAGCAGGATGTTTCACACATGTAATCTCTCCATCAGGAACAAGAACATTCCTGCAGGGATTTCATGTTCAGGACCTGAGACTGCAGGCTGAAAGGAACCAGACTCTGATGATAATATACAATAACCTCCTCTATAATCAAAGGGAACTGCAGATATTAACATACCAGCAATATTAATGATATTAAAGCTGCACTCTGGAAATATTCTGCAGCAGCTTCATGAAATATTCTCAAACTGACAACAGAACAGGAAGTGGTGGTTCATATACTGTAGATATACAGATATAGTATATATCTGTAGATATATACTGTAAATATACAGTATATATCTATATACAGATATATACTGTATATATCTACAGATATATATAGATTTGTGATGTTAGTAACTAATACAACCAATCACCAAATGTGTTACCTGTGGTGATGTGTTACCTGTAGTGATGTGTTACCTGCGCTGAGGTGTTACCAGTAGTGATATGATACCTGTAGTGATGTGTTACATGTACTGATGTGTTACCTGTGCTGATGTGTTACCTGTACTGATGTGTTACCTGTGGTGATGCGAGCAGCAGGCTGAGGCTCCAGGCCAGCAGCAGCATGCGTCGGTTCCTGTGCTGCGCACTCAGAGCATCCAGCGGGTGTAGGATGGCGTGCTGGCGGTCGAGGCTGATGACGACGAGGATGAAGGCAGAAGCGTGCATTGCAAACAGCTTCAGGAAGCAGAGCAGCTTACAGAGTGCGTCGCCGCCATACCACTGCACCGTCACATTCCACACTGCGTCCAGAGGCATCACCACGAATGTCATCATCAGGTCGGCCGACACCAGGCTCAGCATCAGCGGCCGCAGGTGAGATGCCAGCCGTCGGCCACGCCCACACCACACGCTGGCCAATAGGGCGAGGTTACTGGAGGCAGCGAACAAGAAGAGGGCGAAGGTAGCTCCGACACGGAACTGAGCGGCGCAGGTAAAGCTGGGAGCCTCCCAGTCTGTGAGAGGGGGGAACTGGGAGGTGTTGGGAGGGTGTGGAGCTACAGAACTGGTGGGTGGAGCTGGTGATGACAGCCTCATGACAGGCCAGTTACCCGACATCCTATAAAGAAGAAGAAAACGGTCACAAGTGATGAGGATGATGAGGATGAGGTCCCAACTTTTAAAGGAACAGTCCTAGCTCAGTACAAATCTGGAAACAGGTTCCAATAGCTCATTGTGTGATTGACATATTGTATGCAATGTAACTCATTGTTGGTGATCCTTTGCAGTTGTCAGTTGAGCTTTAAGAAGCTTTAAAAAGTCACCTGTTTCATAAAGATTTATCCTGTAATTTGTTTTTGCCCCGTGTGTAGTTTTTATTGTGTTTGGTAGTTGTTATTATTATTATTATTATTATTATTATTATTAATAAAATAAAAGAGGACTGAGCTCTGTGGAACTCCACACATCATTTTGGTTTTCTCGGATGTGGACAGCTGCTGGAGGAGAGTCAGTCACACTGAACGTCATAAATAGTCAATAAAATGTATTTAATATTTAGTTGCTGCTTTAGAGCCTCTGCAACCATCAGGATGTCCTGGTCTAACGCCAAAATCCCACTGGGCACGGGCAACACCCAGTGCCGGGCATGGCTTCATGACATCTCATCTGCGATACAGTTTTGGTTTTACTGCCTGACGTTGCTGACTTGTGTAGTTTCTCCTTTTTCCTTCTGGGTCAGTAGCTCCAGTGTGTAATATATATTTAAGTTAATATAATATATATAATATCCATCAGTATGTTTCTATTAGTGTATAACCAGCTGAAAATAAGAATTATTGAACAGACAAACATTGGAGCTAAAGCTTTAGTGTAGTTTAACCTATTCTCATTCTCAGGTTCCTGTCACTTCCTGCCACTGTGATCTGCTCTGTGCAGCCATGTTGGCATTCAGACTCTGGTTCTGAGTTCAGTTTACACCCGCATCATCCAAACCTCAGTTTGATGTGTCCGTGTTTAATCTCAGTGACTTCCTGTTCAGCTCATTAACACAAATATGCACTGGTCCTTCAGAATAGAAGCAAAGAAACAGTTCCATAAAATAAAGCTTAAAATCGATCAACAGGGAAAACCACAAAGCATCATCTACCCATAAATATTCATGATATTGATCATTAATACAGACACACACACACACACACACAGATCAGTTTACAACTCTGAGCTGTCTGCACTATATTCAGCAGGATGTGTGTGTGTGTGTGTGTGTGCTCATGTTACCTTGGCAACCAACCCCTCCTAACACACGTTAGTACATATTATAGCTACTATACATACTATAAATACTATACATGATATATACATATAGAACATACATTACAGAACAAATTACAAGCTATTATTTTCCTATAATTCACATTTCAAGTTAAATGTCCTGTTCTGTGTTATTGTCAGTCAGACTCTTATTGTGAAAGAGTTGGCGTTTTTACCTGATCAGCAGCTCTGGATGTTTGTCCTCCTCAGGTCAGACTCCTCTGATCGCCTCCTCATGTTCTCTGTTCGGGAGAAAACCCTGAAGATCCCAGACTGAGGAACACAACCCAGTCTAATCCGGATCAGTTCGGGTTCCTGTTGACTGCAGCAGCTCCTGAAGGACCGAGGAAAAATCTGCAGCGCAGAGAGGAGGAGCTCCTCCTGCAGTGGGCAGCGCAGGGAGGAGGAGGAGCTCCTCCTGCAGACGGCAGCACCAGTAGGTGGCGCTATCACTATTACTGAATATTATCACATAGACGTGTTCAGGGCAGGACTCTTAACAAACGTGAAGTTTCGTTGAGATCAGATCATGTACGCAGAAGTTATGACAAATCGTTTCACGGCGAGTCATTGAAATTCGACACCACACCATGGGCACGCCGTTCGATGGAATGTCGTGCATGTTGCAACCTCCAAAAATGTGATTCATTGCATCAGAATAATAATAATTCCTATTACAATAGGGCCTTCATTCGGCCAGTGCTCGGGGCCCTAATAATACTACTAATAACTATTATAATAACAATAATAATAGTAATGATAACAATAATATCAGTAATAT